TGTAGTTTCTCAAAAAAAAAAAAAAAAAAGCATAACGATATTACAGCTTTCATTGATCTATTTCAAATTTGAAACATTGTCTAGCCTGTAAGGTGTGTAAAAACAAAAAAACAAAAACACAATGAATCGAATTGTATCGTGGTGTATTCTTGAGTATCGAAAATGATCGAATCGTTGGGTCAGGAAATCGATACTGAATCGAATCGCCATGATGGATGTGATTTCCACCCCTAGTCCCTAACTACTAACCCTTAACTGTCAAGTGTCACTCCCAGTGAAGTCACACTTGCAGCTGTGGAAGGCATCTTGATTGAAGGTGGGGGAGTATAAATAAGAAGCTGTAGCTCTGTGGCGCAGGTTAACATAACATTAAACAGTTACCTCTTTCTTAAAACAAATGTATACCGTCAAATAAAAAAGGTCATTTTGGAGTTAATTACGTTTTTGTTTTTTTTCATTAGCTAACTTGGGATTTTCTGTCAGTGTGTCGAAGATGCAGCAAATCAGCAGAATTTACATTTGGCAGAACGTGTTTCCTTCGCCACCGGGCCGCTGTTACACCTGCTGCTCAATTCTAGCGAGCTTCCACTGATGCAGACTCATTATTTAAGGGCTGAACGGTCAACTCGCCCTACCCAGTATGGGGTTTGGGATGACGCTTAATGAGGTGGACCCTCCATGGGAACGCACAAACTGAGGGCTAGTGCTCAGGGACCGATTTGGGGTTGGGATTATGTCAGACTCACCACAGGTAAGTGAAAATGGGGACGAGCACGTAGGACGGCCTTACATAAACATATCACCAAATGATTGACAATTAGGAGGACCACTTATTTTGATGATCCACCTGGAAAAAATCCTCCACTATACCTTTAATGAGTTATATTGCAGAATTTTAAATGTATGCATGAACTTCAGTAAGATCCACCTCAAACTTGACTCTGTGGTACAGTGTTATACGTGTAGCAGTGAATGTGTGACTTACAGCCCGAAACGGAGGGTTCCGGACACATAGGTCTGCCAGTGGGCACAGAAGAACATGAACATCCCAATGAAACCACAGAAGAACATCCAGTTTGCGTATCTTCCTATTCCACATGAAATGCAAGTTCCCACTGCAACAAAGACTGAAAGGATAAAAACACAAAGATAAATATTTAATTGAATATGTTCTGTTTCTCTGCTTATTATACTTCAACAAAAAGTGTAAAATCGGTCAGTTTGACTTAAGCACCTGTAGAGACAGCGTCGCAGCCGTGGTCGAACAGTTCCCCCAGAGGAGAGCTGCTGTTTGTCCTCCTGGCCTGTTTCCCATCAATGGCATCCAGAGACTGATAAATGAAGAGGCCCACAGCAGACAGGATGAAGGCCCATGATGGAGCCTGAGGTCACAGAGCAGGAGGAAGATGATGTTATTTCAATAATCACCACAACTTATTAAACTGGGAACACTTCAGGAATTACGATCGGCTCTTTTCTCACCCAAACAAGAAACTTTGGTTCCTTTTTGCTGTTAGCTAACATATTCTGGATATAAACGTTTAAAAAAGTGAATTATAATAACGTTAAGTACACATCTTTATTCATTTATTTCATTGGTGTATAAATATTTATGTTTTCTTTAAAACACAAAACCAAAATGCATTTTATTTGAAGGCCGATCAGATTACCTAAATAAAAAAGTTGCTTTAAATAGAGTCACGATTTAATAAATAGATGAAAAGCTATACCTTAATTAATAAAATAATGACGGGCATCTCTTTAGTTAAACAGGCTCTAACATCTAATTGTTTGACCTGCAAAGCAAGTCCACTTCTGACCGATCATCTAAACACAGACTTTAACTGGGTAAGTCTGATATGATGATATAATAAGAGCAAATAAATATACATCAATTAACATTTACTTCAGGATAATTAATGACATATAAATGACATATTATTTATTGCAGGTCTACTAAAACCATACAGTGCTGAGAAAATAGATAACAGCAGTGAAATGAATAAACGGTCTCTGTTGTAACCTTGTCCCAAGGCGTTTCAAACATGATCATGACCTTGAACTGGAGCATAGTTGGAGGGTCTAATATGGCTGACAGAGTCTTTTAGTTCGACTCGTATTGTGTTCAGGAATGTGTTGCTCTGTTACACCTAAAGGTGAAGGTTTTTCCTCCCCTCTTTTACAGCCTTTGTATAAAAGCAGGTGTGCCATGAAATTTCAGTCAGGCAAACAGAGGTGTTTACAGAGATTTAAATCAAAGTGATTTAAGTAATAGGAAATATGAGAAATAAAGCTAACTGATTTGAAAAATATGAGGTAAAAGAACCTCCCAGTTGGAGTTTGTCCACCTTAGTGGAGGTGGTAGAACCAGTTCCAGGTCTCTAGAAAATCTAACAGGTTTAACAAACTCAGTTTGAAGTCATTTCAATATGGCAATAATAATTAAATATTACAGAACACATTTCTCCTTCCCTCTTTTTTTTCATTTCAGATGATCATCAATTCAAATCATCATCGTCAATTAAAAATATTTTTTAGGCTGTTAAAAAAATCAAGCAATGCTTGTATTGAAAAAAAAAAGTATAAAATTTCAAAACAACATTTCTGTGGTTTTTTTTTTTTATTATTTAAGCTTTTTAGCCAAAGCACTTTGGAAGTGAAACTAACCCTGGAGTTTTAGGTCAAAGCTGCAAAATCAGCTTTTTTTTGTTTGTTTGTTTTTTTTTTTCAAAATATGATGGAGACAGTGTGGAGATAGAAACAGAAAGAACCGATAAAAATCAAGCACTTAAACATATGAAAAACTGCTTGGAATTTTCCTCCACTAAGGTGGAGTAAAACTGCTTTACTATTAATGCACTTCCTGTACTTTCCTGAGGCAAACCGTTCAGCATAAGTCAAGTTCAAGGACATCGGTATGTCTGTGTAAAAGATCGGTTTCGTAGCGTGCAGCCTTGTTCTTAACAGTTTTTAGCATGAATATAATATAATCTTACATTTCATGTAAGATATTTGTACACTTGATGCTTGTGTCTCCTTTGGTCTCCCTAGTTTGGACATGCTCCTGAAAACTAACAACATCCTTCAGAGTTGCGTAACCTCACTTCTGGGGGATCTTTAACCTTTTTTGACGGCTTTATTATTGATGCCATGTTGCTGTCAACCAGTCAGGTGCAACAGCATGAAAAGGTCTGCCAGCATTCTAATTTAACAGTAGGTTAATTTGCATGTTGATAACATACGCTGATATTTGTTAGTAGGTTTTGAATCCCAGCATGGTTTCTTTTTGCAATGGGTTAACATATAGCGGCATGGATTGGGATTAATGTTCTTGATCCCACTTTACCTAGAGGAAGATGAATTGGTAGATTAAAAGGCGGATTATACTTCTGCAACCGCACACATCAAATGTCAATTGCGTCTGGTCGCGAACCAGTTTTGCTGGTATGCTAATTTGTAGGGATACACAGCAGTTTCCCAACAAAGCGCTAAGGGGAGCCTATTGGAGAACTTGCGAGAACTTCGGCGGATGGCCACGAGAACTTCTTCGGCGGCGCCGGCAGGGGTGTTTATTTTCCAAAACACCATGTCGGAAGCATCGTACAAGTGGTTGTACTTCCGAAACCTCCTCGATTAACATTTCGTCGTGGTTATCCATTGTTGTTATTACTCCTCGGTTTTTAAAAATGGCACGCCCCGACACCGAATTGAGAAGGACAACCACTCAGACAGCCCAAAAGGCAAACCAAGGACCAATCACAGCTGCTTTTTGTCTGCGCACTTCCGCTTGAGGTCTAAACGAGTTTGCGACCGTCCGGCGTGTAGTCAGTGAGACAGATTTGACGGTTGCAGAGGCTATGCTTCAGAAGCATAAATTGGCCTTAACAGTTGTGCTGATCCTCCCCAGCTTTCCAAATTCAGAGGATGGACTGGACAGCCTTCTAGGAGAAGTTTAATGTTTCTTATATTAGAAAATTATAACTGATTTTACTTGGGGTGGGTAGCACTGCTGCCTTGCAGCAAGAAGGTTCAGGGTTCGATTCCCTGCCCAAGATCTTTCTGCATGGAGTTTCCATGTTCTCCCTGAGCATGCGTGGGTTCTCTCTGGGTACTCCAGCTTCCTCCCACAGTCCAAAAAAAAAAAAACATGACCGTTAGGTTAATTGGCTTCTCTAAATTCTCCTTAGGTCTGACTGTGTGTGTGAATGGTTGTTTGCACCCCTCGCAACCCCGCTTGAGATAAAGCGTGTCCGAAAATGGATTTATTTAGGGATATCACATTAAAACTTTGTCATATTTCATTTTCACACAGAAAATATAATAAACAGTGCACCTTTTTTATTTATTTTTTAATATGTACAAGTAAAGCATAAATGTTTACATAAGAAATGTTAAAGGGGTACTTTACTTTCTGCAAAGCAGAGCTTTACACTGTATCTGACCCTATCAGCCTGCTGCATGGACTTTGATTCATCAGTTATTTCTCATGCTTAGACCGGTCAAAGGTGGTTTATCTGCTAAACCACACAGTTATATATCGTATCTATGGCTAAATGAACCCATGCACACATTCATCTAGGTGATAGGTCAGCTGTGCGCTCAGCTCAGAGCTGAAAACTGCTTATTTCTCCATTTTATTTGGATCTGCACCGTGTTTACATAGCAGTAATGCTAAACTAACAGTGTTTTTTTTATGGTGTCCTGATTATGGTGTAAAATACTGTTTTGTACTAACACTGCATCACATGGGGGCGGAAAGACAACACGTCAAATTTCTGTCAACTCTCCAAGTACGTGCGACCATTAATCTATTCCGCAAATCAGCCCAGTTCCAGCGTCGGCTCGAAACCAGTTAAAACACCCTGGCGCTGCCCGAAATGACGTTATATAAGCCTAATAATAAGAAAACAATAGAAGCTTGAGATTATCTCTAATTCGGTTTACAGTCTATATAAAAATCACACGCCTATTTTGGGAATTTCCAAAAGTACACAAGCAATTGCGTTAGCTGTCCCTGCTATTAAAGTAATTCAAATATAAATGTTTCTTAATTAGAAAAAATAAATGCTTCTTATATGGTAGCCGAATTGAAAAGAGAACTTTTCCGATTTGGACAATGCATTCAATTTGATATTTTAGTGTGTATAAAATATAGAAATATGAGAACTTCTTTGTTTTGGGGCTTTTTTATATGGAGTTCTGCTACGTCATTACCAGTGATTGGAACGTTTCTGTGTGGAAACTTCAGCTATGCTCGATTTACTCACCTCCTCCGTTGCCGTGGGACAGAACCACACCAGCACCACCGTGGTCAGGACGTTTACTAAGAGTCCAACAATAGTTAGCGTGTTTGGAGCGACCCATGTCGGTATCTGTTGGACCAGCCAGTTCCAGTAGACTTGGCACGGAGGCTCGAACAGGGAGCGACCCGAGGCGCTGTATTTATGCTCCTCCAGCCGCTTCAGTTGTGCGGCTGACAGCGGCTCCGGCCACAGGCAGTGTGGCATTGTCCCCTGCCTCGTCACTCCTCTACGTACCGTAACAAAAGCCCCGCTTTCCAACAGAAAGTGCCTTGCGAAAAGGTTAAGTTGTTGTTTCTACCGACTCCGAAACGGGAGCAGATCATTTGGCTTTTGTTGCTCGGTGGAAAGCCGAGGCCATTTCTGCAGCGGAACCAAAATCCGCCGACAGCTTTCTGATCGAGGTGGAAGTCTGCAGGAAGCGGAGCGATGACATGACAGAGAACCGGGAAATTTAAACCAACTCTCAGGCGAATTCCTGGGGTTCCAAAAAAAGTTTACTGATTTTTAAAATTTTACTTCAGTTTAATATGGGAAAAAAAGCCTAAATTATGAGATTAAAGTCAGAATTCTGACTTTTCCTCATATTAAACTGAAATAAAATTAAACAGCTAACTTTTTTTTTCCCTATGGGCCCTAATCCTCTTCCGTAGGTTCCTCAGTGTATTTAATTAGTTAAATTAAGTAATACATTTAATTAATGCAATAGATTTCCAATTGGAAGAATTTGGTGACTATGATTATTATTAATGCATTATTACATGTTTTAGACATACTAATAGGTCTATTTCAACCTTTTTGGTGAAAAAAAAAAACTGTTGAGGGAAAAATATAAATGAGCAAATATATCCCCAGACTAAAGCTGTAATAAATTACATTCTAACAAAAAATTAAAAAAATTTATAAATGCATAACATTAATCTAACTAAAGCATTATTANAAATCCGCCGACAGCTTTCTGATCGAGGTGGAAGTCTGCAGGAAGCGGAGCGATGACATGACAGAGAACCGGGAAATTTAAACCAACTCTCAGGCGAATTCCTGGGGTTCCAAAAAAAGTTAACTGATTTTTACATTTTATTTCAGTTTAATATGGGGGGAAAGTCAGAATTATGCGATTAAAGTCAGAATTCTGACTTTTTCCCATATTAAACTGAAATAAAATGTAAAAATCAGCTAACTTTTTTTTTTTTCCCATTGGCCCTAATCCTCCTCTGTAGGTTCCTCAGTGCATTTAATTGGTTAAATTAATTAAGAATGTAATTATTGCAATAGATTTCCAACTGGATGAATTTGGTGACTATGATTATAATAAATGCATTATTACATGTTTTAGATATACTAATAGGTCTATTTCAACCTTTTTGTTGAAAACTGTTGAGGGAAAAATATAAATGAGCAAATATATCCCCAGACTAAAGCTGTAATAAATTACATTCTAACAAAAAATTAAAAAAATTTATAAATGCATAACATTAATCTAACTAAAGCATTATTAACTTAAATATCTGTTTTATGGTGCTCTATATAAAACATGACTTTGTAAAAAAAAAAAAAAAATTAAGAAGGCAGAGACCCGTCCACAATAGAAGAATACTAATTTAAAAAATCTGCACACTTAAAATTAAGATTCAAAATAAAATGAAAAATAAAGGTTTAGATGTATAAAGTAAAATAAACAAAAAGAATGAAATTAAAGCTATTCATATTTTATTTAAAAGATGTATATTAAAAATGAATTTTATTAAACTGATAAAGAAATAACAACAAATAACACTGATTATAAAAATAATGTATTTTGCAAAATGTATCCAAGTGAAATAACGGAAATTATTATTTAAAAAGTTGATTAAAGAATAATGATTGGAATATTGCAAAAATGTCTAAGTATATATTTGTACGTAACAACATTTCTTTCAGTATTTGTATTTATTTATTCATTTTTATTCAAATCTTAAATATTACAACATTCCCCTTAAAATCACTTCTGTTTAACTTGGCAAATTTTGCCTCCTTATTTATTTATTTTTTATTTCCTTAGAATACATTGTCATTCAAATGGGCTGAATTTAAATGGTCAAACATTTTACTCATTATAGTATCAAAACTATTTCATTCACTGAGTTGCAAATAATGCAGCTTTAGAGGAAGCTGGAATCATCTTTCGATTCCAGATACCTCAACAAATAATCTGATGAGGAATGTGACTTCCAGGTAGTTTGCTATATATTACAGAAAGTTGAGTGAATGTAATTGAAATATCAATAAATATCTGGATATTTTGCTTTTGTTTTAACACTAAAAATGCTGTAAAGAAATCTTATCTCCCTTTTGGAAAACAAAAACGTATACAAAAAGACACATTTGAAAGATTTATTGTGGTTCATAATTACAAAGGTAAAGACATGCACATGACTGAACCTCGATCAGTCCAAAATAAACACAAAGGTTTAGGTGTCATGCATGTGAGTAAACCTCTACACTTTCTCCCAAAACAATCAAAAATACCTTCAAGAGAAAAGATTGAAAACAAATTCCTTTTCCAACATTACCCAAGTGGTTCTTAATATGTTCAGCAGAACTGAGTTCCATTTATATTAACAATAATTTAAACATATCTGTTTCCTTTCTATGTAGCTCCCCAGAGAAAAATAACACTTTCACTGTCAACACCCAAGAAAACCACATTTAAAAACCTCAGAAAGGAGTTGCTCTTTCTTAGATGTTATTTTTTTCTCACCACAGCATTTTTAAAAATTTGATTCAATTGAAAACACTGTCAGCATGCTTCTGAGGCAATAAAACATTTCAAACAAAAAAGGGTGTAAAAGGAGACGAAATTGTTGTTTTTCTACGGCAACAAGTTTCAAACATGCACACAGCATTCCACACCACAGGGCAGAACTCCCTCCACCGATCCATTCACCCCTCCTGCCGCCATGCTGCCATCAGTGCACTGATCCCCAACAGGTGAGAGAAGAGGGTCACTGATGGTCGCTGATTTTAAAGCTAAAGCTTCTTATTGCAATGGGTTCAGTTTCATTTGTCTTGCTCAACAATCTTTGACTCGTTCATGTATTTATCAATCAGGTGTAAGGGTACTCCACGCTGCATGAGCTCGTAGAAGGTGTAGCCGCCTAAAGGACAAAAAAAAAGAGTTAAAAGGTTAGTGAAGGTAAAGGGTTCGCTTCATAAAAACCTTAAATAGGCCTCAAAATCAAAATGTTTTTTTAAAATCAAGTATCTTTACTTTTGCTACCATTGATGCTTTAACACTTTCTGTAAAACAAACTTAACTGATATATATTTATATTGGAAGTTCCCAGTATAAGCTGATAAGTATGCATTGGGAATTCTAATATGATGTAATTGATTTAAGAAAGGGGTCAATTTAATCTATTTCTCAAAATGGGAAAGAGAACATGCCTTTTAGGTAAGGCAGACAGCTGATGATCAACATAAGTTGGAAAAGGTAGCAACAACTACAAGTAATCGACCAGGCCTGCCTATGTCTACACTCTGAGTGTAGTGCATAATTAAAATATTTAAGTAGAGTTTTGACAAGAAAAGACTTAATCTTGTTTCTAAGAGATTTCAAAGGATTTTTAAAGCCCCTTTCTGAAGTAAAGAGTGACGCCTTGAAGTCAGAAAGGCTACATAACAGCCTTCAGCTGCTATCTATATACCAGACAGCTATTTTGGGAAACATGCCAGGAACATCCTTTCCTATCCTACATCACTGGATCCGCTTTGGTCAGAAGAAATTAATACAAACTTTTCAGGAACACACATTTCATGTGCATTTGGTTTTAAATAAGGAAACATTTAAAAGAGCACGGTTAGGCTACCGAAAGCTTATAGAACATTTGTTAGCTGAGCCATAAGACTGTGCCAAAAGTGAAACGTCTGTTACTGTTTCAATCTTCCTTTAGAGTAAAATACATTCTGCAATTTATTACCAGAAGAGTAATAAAGAGTAAGAGTAAGTTTTTCACTTATATGTTATTATGCCATTGCACTAAAACGTGACCTCATTTAACCAAAATTTGCACATATTTACCAAGGTGAAAATAAGTGTTTAGGTTGCTGCAGATAGGGAACTAAAGTAGATCAAAAAGAAGAGACAAGGAGTTGCTAATACTGGCTATGGAGAAACCTAGCAGCATTGTGCTTATAAATGTCTATGATCCATTCCAAATTATACACCAATCGTGTAAGTACAGTTTCTGTGTAGAGCTTAGAACATAAGCTAAAAACCATGCAAAGATTAAATTTGGACTGGAATCAAGCAAACCAACTGGTGTTGAATAATTAAAGCTGATTAAATTGGAACCACCTACTTATTTCTAACCTCCACTAAGTTATAAGCATTCAAACATGTACAGATATGACAGACTAAATAGTCATGACACATATACAATGTTTTAAGCTGTAGTTCTTGTATCTTTATACAATTCAAGAAGCAGCTGGTATGTAGATTTTAAATGTAATTTTGAGGCTATAATCAACCAAGTGTTGCAAAAACATTTATATTCTATCATTTACTTGATTATCTCAATTATTAACAGTTCTGGAGTAACTAAATGTGGCTAATGTGACATTTTTAAACAGGCAAAACCTCTTCCAAGTCACGTAACCTTTATGTAAAAAATAATGCAACAGTTATAATATGTTGAGAATTGTTATTAAGGCATTGTGGGAGCATGGCAAGCTGAGGTTTGCAAATTATTTACTAGTGTATTGTGTTAGCAGTCTACTACAGAATGCTGTTTATTCTTCTGGTAGACATGCTGACATAGATTGCAGTATTTTGATCTGTTGAAAAACGTGTTGGAAAGAATGCATGCAGACTCCTCTGGTATTTAATTTATCGATTTGTCTATTGGCTGAAAGGAAACAAAATCATTTGTTGTTGTCATAAATTTCTCTTACTTTTTCTCCTATCGCGGGCTTTTACAAACGCAAAGTATCAGATTAAAAAAACGTCCAACTAACTTCATTAGCTTCAAATTATCCTCCTAAACGTGATTCATGTGAATCTGCATATTTGCCGCCCCTCCTACTGTATGTGAATGAACACACAGGTGTTAATTCATCGAAATGGCTTTGAAGACGGAAAAGAAAAACTGTAAAGGTTTGCGGATCGAGGCTCTCCTGACTGATAGCTGCACTGCAAAAAACTAGAATCTAAATAAGTAATTTTTTCCTAAAATAATTCATTCATCCTTGACCTGAGGAGGTAAGTGAGACACTTTGTCAATGGAACAAGACAATTTACATTTAAAATAAAAAATAATCACATTGTCTTATTTCAAGTGCATCCTATTCTAAGAGTAAAAATACTTATTAATCTTATTTACCTACTCAGAAGAAGGATGAATACACTTAATTTAAGAATTTGTACATATTTCCAGATC